GAACGAAAATGAAAAAATGGTTTTTCGAAAAATTACGCAGTCGTTCATAGTAACACCTGTTAATATTATATTTATAAGCTACGCGTTTATGAGATTAAAACGCAATGTTTATTAATTCGTCCGACATTGAACCCCCGAACAAAACAGAGTTAGTTGGGTGTATTAAAATAAAGATTAACAGGGACCACTCACACTGACTGGTAAGTATATTTACCTCGGTATAATAATTCAGTATACCGTTTTCGTAGTGCGTATAAATTATAAATAAATTACTCGGAATAACGGCAGAGGCCCGTGTTTCGAACTCGATTTATTATATAAAATCGTATTACAAAAAAAAATAAAAAAAAAAAAATAGTGTTTTCAGTATTCTTCTGTAGATTTTATATTATCTACACCGCCGTCGTCGTTCCTAGTTCAATCATAACGGTTTTAGGATTCCGCAGTGTAGGTAATATATAATATATAATGTCGCAGTATAGTCGTTATTATGTTATATAGAAAATGCCTTTATATTTCCATCGTGTCCACCACATCCGGTCGTGGCCATATTGTTGCGCCGCGGTTATCGATACCATTGTGGATTTTATAAAAAAAAAAAAACTATATATATCATCTTTTGTTGTACTTATTTCGTCTCGGAATCATAAATCACACCCCGAACACAGCGGAGTAATTTTACTCTACAACATAATATTGATACGATAGACACCAGTTACTTATATAGTTACAAGCTGAAAGCTGATACATAAAGCTCTTTTAGATTCTGAGCGCAGAAATAGGAATTTACTAGTTTAAAATATGATGCGTGTTGTATTTTCCCTGTCTGAACCACTTTTCTACCAGAAATATTGTTCCGCTCATCAACTGCAGCGTTTTTTCTAAATTTAAATTTTGTCTAGTTGATGCCCTGAAAAAGCGGAAAAAACGTACGAAAAAGCAATTGGTATTACGGAAATAATACGATTTCAAAAAAATAAAATCATGTCACTAACGCACACTGTTCTCATTTGGCTACAAATCCTAAATAGGGGTAAAGGTATAAAACAACCAAAATAGATTTTTTTTTTTTTTAGTCATTTTTCCCAAATTCTCATGAAGAAATATTTTTTTTTTTTTAAATACGAAAAACCATGCAGTGTGAGGTTAATTTTGATTTTTTTTTTTTTTTATAATTCTGAGCGAAGTGAGGAATGTTTTGGTTAAAAAATATATTAGTTGATATGTTTTTTTTTTCTTCTATCTGTAAACAGCAATGTCACTTCAATCAAAAACGTTATAGGAAATTTCTTGTAGTATTTTTTTATCTAGTTAGTGTATTAAAGTTATTATTTTTATTTCCTTAAAATTTTCTTTTTAAATGGAAAAAACTATAGTAGGTCTTTTTGAAAATTGTATTGGTATCTGGATTACCTTTGAAACAATACAAAAAATACTCTACTCAGAATCGCTTTAGTTAGGTATCAATTGTTTATATTTGCGTACAGATATAAATTGAATTAGTCTATCTATCTTCTCTTCCAACTACCTTCCTAAAACAATAATACACCGATACACGCGTCAGTTATATCGGTCTTTTTTTGTAGTTATTGTTCAATTAGATGTAATCGTAGTGTTAAATCGGTCAAATCGCATTACTTGTTCGTTGTTATTAAATGACGACCCTTAACACTATTATTTCGTAAGTTTTACGGCCACATTTACCGAAGACATATAAAAATCGGGCAATATGGCCATTACAAAGGTCACTCGTCCGTGAAAAATAGTTGTAACAACGATATTTGTTGTAGTATGGACATTATTATCCCTATAATACTATCGAGACTTCATATTTTATAGTTATGTTTGAACAAAAAAGATGTCTATAAATTATCTGAGTGATTACTTGTTCTACCAAGTGTCAACAAAAATATTGTAATATCCATGTAATCATCGATTTCCCTCATATACCCCCCCCCCCAAAAAAAAAAAAGAAACGAATCTGGATAAATCGAATTTAAAACAAAGTACGCAATACTTAAATATTTTGATCGTTTCATTTTTAGCGATTTACTAATTATAATTATAATTTCACAAAATTTGAACTTTCGTTATTTTGTAAATAACACGAACGCGGATGCGTATTATATCTTCGACAAAACAAAAAGAAAAAGAAAAGTAAAACGAGTATTTTTGCGAAACGAACTCTAACGAATTCAATTATTTATATAGTGAACAAACGCCGACACTGATAAACTGATCTCGGATACTATAGTACAGACCGTAACAGGTCCGCAGAGATTACTCTGTATAAACGCGGACTAAATATTTTATATAATATTTTGTTGGCTAGTCGTAAATAAAAAGTTAAAGGAAACCTTGCAAGAATAATGGAAATACCGAGACGTTCACAAACGTTACTTACCCTCGTACCCCATCAACGCATCATTTTTCTTGGAAATGCACTAAACAAAATTACTATTTGTTATTTTTTTTTTTTCAATTTCATCAACACGTCACGTCAGAATATTATTAATCCGTGAAACCTACTAACGAAGAGTCCAACGCAGTTTAAAAAGCGTTTTTTTTTTTTTTTTGTAAACGAGCGTTTCTTACAATATATATTTGGTACTTACGAAATTTCTAAATACGAGTAGGTACGCATTGAATCGCACCGGGAAGTATTTGATTTTTAAAATTCATTATTTTAATAAAATTTGATTCGGTTTGTCATAATTTTTATTTTTTTAACGGGGTCTTTAAAATTACTCCGTCAATAAATTTGACTTAAAATAAAACTATTTTTGGCTGCTTTCCTCCAATTATTTCCATCTACTGAATTCACGTCCCTTTTTTCCAGTGGCCTTTTTCTTATTTGGTCTTCTTCAATTACCGTTTTTACCATAAAACCATATTTCGCCTACTTCTATCAGTCTATGGTAGCGATTATTTATTTATTTATCGAGTTTAAAGGGGGATGGAGGAGGAGAAATGAGGTAAGTTTTTAAAAATTTCCCTCCCCGTTCATCCCTCAAAAAAAAACTTAAACAAACGTCCAAAATTGAATAGAAATAAAATAAATCAATTATAATATTAATAAGCTAATAATAATTTCTTGCCATTCATTGTCAATGGTATTAAAAAACTCAATCAAAATATATTTATGTTTTAATCGATGTACTAACGTTTTGCTTACTTAACATAGGTAATAAATTATAAAAATCCATGGACCAAGGAGATGGGGAAATCCACTTATGGCCCATAAAACCGCTACTGTATCAAATTTCTTTTCATGATTTCGTGATATACGTTCGTTAAAACAAAATGTTCGAGTTCTTCATTGTTTAGAATTCTTTTCCATTCACAGTATTGTGAGTCACGGCACGGGTCATAAAATATCTGCCCCCTTAATATTTTTTTCTTTAAGATTCGAATCTCAATTCTTTCAATTCCCTGAGGGTCCACGTTTCGGAAATATACAGAGCGAATGATCGTATCAAGGTAATATATATTTCAACTTATAGATTTTTGAATAGTTATCTACGATTCTAGATCTTAGAGGATATCCAACTCTAAAATAATATTTATTATTAGCCATTTTCAACTTGGATTTTCAATTACCCCTAGATATTTAAACTTTGGAACACTTTAAAAATCGATTTTAATCGATTTATCGATTAAATTATTATTAATACAATACTACAATATTATTTTATAGTCGTAACTTATTTCAAGTGTTACTTTATTAGTATAGTATATAATGCAGACTAATCGAAATTATTCGATGTTTTTTTAAATTTTTTACGTACAATCGATTTCGCCTATATAATTTAAAAATGTTTCGATGACGTTATTGGAAAATACATAATTAATGTTCATCGTTTGTTCGTAACCTTTTTATTACACTTTATTCGTAGTATTTAAGTATATAGTAGGTATATTGCTCGAGTATAACTACTCGTTTTGAAAACCCGGTGGCATATGAACATACTACACCGTTTTTCAGACCCGCGGTTGCTTGTTGAATATATTTCACCCGATAAGTAATTTATAAATGTTGCTATCAAAGCACTGATGATATCTCTGTGAGCAACTGTCTATTCAACGTAACTAGGTTCAATTCCACTGATTGTGGCATAGATATTTTATTTTATTTTTCCCACTATGCCCTACCTGACATAGTTTTGCATAAGTTTCTCGAAGTTTATTTTCGATTAAAATTTCGATATGAGCGATCGAAGCGAGTGAATTGAGATGGCTGAAGGCCCAAATAAGGAGTAATCAATAACGCACTTGTTTGTCGATGATGTACAAATAAAACCCGAAGTTGAAGTTAACACTTAGGACACTATCTTCCTTGTTTCAATAGCATTAGGTTGTAAATTTAAGTTAGATAAGCGTTCATCCCCCTCCCCTGTAGAGGGATGAAACGAGTCGCTCAGCATCACCCAAGTTGGGGAGTGAGCTATTTTCTACACTCTTAAGACTTAGCTACCGTCTAACATTGTAACATGTAGTAATATCGAAATCACAGGTCGGTTTGAGCAATAGTTATGCTTGGCCGAATCAGTAAATTTTGACGCATAAAACTATAGTGTGAATCTTTATCAAAGCGTCAGTATCAGTCTAGTCGACGTAATTTTAATTAAAAATAAAAAATTCGTTGAAATTTTATCGTGACTCTCGCGTTCTGGAACTACGAGTATGTGTGTTTGATTTTCTGTGGCCTGAGATCCGAATCCTAATAACTAGGACCCGGATTTAAAATTCATTTTTTTTTTTTTCTAGGAGGATTAAGATAATGCTTTCCGAGTACATAATTCATAATTTTATAGAGAAACAAATGATTAATATATCTTGACTGGTCGTAAATCAAAGAAAATCAGAGTACAGGAAGACCGGCGGTGTTGACAGTGTCGTACATTAAAAATTTGATAAATCGTGGTTTATAAATATTTTTACATTAGGATACACTAAAATACAAAACAAAAATGGAATTTTTCAATTTATTAATATACGTAATACATAATATATAATTTGAAGGTTTTTGTGTGCATTATATTTAATGATAATCGCGCAGAGAATATGACATTCTGTGGATATCATATTTTTTCGGTTTATCCTCCATCACTCCATCATATTTCAACAAAACCTATGGTGGAACTTGAGCTAACGTTTCTTTAAATGCTTTTTCGATATAATCCGAGAATGAAGATAATTTAACGATGAAACCAATGGTTTATCATTGCATACAGATATAAATTAAATTACTCTATATATTATCGTGTTTTCCAATATCCCTTCTAAAAGAGTGACACACCCCTATCGAGCAGAATCGTCCCTTTTTTTTTTCAAATGACACAATTATTATACATCAGTACGAAGCTTTCTTAATACGGAATAGCCATGTGGCCATAACAATAGAGGCACATGCCATACAGTTTCTTTATGTCGACGGATACACTTATATCGCAAAATACCAATAATGCATTATCAATAGTTAAATACCATAAATACCAGTTACTCAATTTTTCAATAGTCACACGACTTATACTTTCGTCGATGTCCTTGTACAAGTAAAGGGTTTCAAGAAATTGAAAGTCTGAAAATGAATATTCAACTGCATTTGGGGAATTTATCCAAGCTTTTAGATATATCTTTCAAAGAAAGATGCAAATATCACGAAACCTATCTAAATCTTTATTTTTAATTTTAAATTGGTTTTGAAAAATAAAAATTATGCAACTATAAATGGCCACTTTAGCCATCCATCTAACATAGTGAAAAGCTCCTGGAACTCAGAACAATAGTCCACGAGGAGAAACACCACATAAGAATATTACCATAAGCTCCAAAATTTCCCGTAGTCTTCTTTTATTTGAGGTTTTTTTTAAATAATTTTTGATAAATTCTTAAGATGCATTTATTATATCGTTTAGCTTTTCACGTAGTTTGCGTAACTTATAAAAAAAAACATTCAACACTTGTCCCATCGACGGTAAATTAACACCAATAATTTGATTCTCAATATAACCAATTAAAAATACTTTATTACTAGATGTAGTATCCATTTTTAATTATTGTTGTTAATAAAATCATACAGAAAAATATTAAGTCTAGACTGTAATAGCAAACTGTTCTTGGATAAAACCCTCATGTATATGGCAACAAAAAAATCGTTATGATAGTAAGATTAAAATAGGTTTTTGGTTTTTTTATTAAAAAATTCAAATCTAAACGAACTATGGTCTTTGTACACTATTTTCTACGATTTAATACATTTTTTATATTATTCAATATTCAAATGCAATGCGTCTCCACTAAATATTATCAAAATGGCCTCGAATTTTGAGGATATATTATTTTTACTATACGGCACAAGATTGGCGGGTGTCCCGGAAGAAATTTTGAAATTGACAAAATACGGACCACCCGAATGTGCATACTTAATTTTACTGCTTATACCGTTGTTGGACGCAAGCCTGTTTACATATTATAAAACAAATAAATAAATAAATATGCAACCCGGTGGCGCCGATCAAAAATATCAATCACGGCGATATAAAATATGACGCGAAACCGCGAACCGTGTTTTTCGATTGTACCATATCCGCATACCGAACACCCGTTAACGCTAAGGTGGATTTTAATTATGACAATATATTGCATCCAGTTCCACGAACTGATATTAATATTTAATACCGACTTTCTCGGATGCAGCGTGATATTCTAAATTAACTTTAACCGTATATCATAATATCCATAGTTAATTAACTATATTGTGTACATACAGTAAACATATTGAAGTATATCGTGTCAAGGGCGAAATTGTTACTATTATTATTGTGTTCTTTTTATACATTTATTTTTCATTTTGAAATATTATAAATTCTTCTTGTTATAGCGTTATATTATATTCTACGGAAGTGATAGTCACGGAAAAAATGCAACGGCTCAAAACTCTTAAATATCGAAAAATAAATGGACGTCGAAAACGTAAATATATAACCGTATGTTCGTTCCTTAATTATTCGTCTGCGGTGGCATCTAATCGACCGACTCGTGAACGGGACGGCGAGCGATAAACTGCCTTAGAAATGATGTCACCGCACCGGATCGCGGACCAATATTAAGGAATGACATACGGATAATTATTGAAAAAGTCCCGAAAAAACGAATTATCGAGATTTAATTTTAACTTGCGATTTGTTCGTGACGTACATAAACGCGACGTTTAATAGTTTGCAGAACGCGAATACCGCGAAAAAAACAAACGCGGCCACTGTGGCAGTTACGTCCAAAAGAAAGTATTGATACCAAGCGATATTGTGACTGTGGTATTTCAAGTGCGGTGCCCCGTGGCGTCGAATTACGTACTCGGTCCAATAAGCCACCGATTGCGCCGGTGTCATTGGACGGTCTTTGAACAACGCGGAATTAGTTTTGGCTTTTTTCGTATATCTACACGAGAAAACAAAAGAAATTACAATTATTATTATGACACTCGACATTCAACGTTTCACCTGACTCACTTTTCATCGTTAATAAGTTCTGAAATAGCTTTCAACAATGAGTCTTTAGTTACTGTCAACAGATCCATCGAGATCGCCATGCCGTTGTGCACCAAATTTTCCACGTTTCTCGGTTGGTCGTAAAACAACGGGAAACCGAGTACGGGAACACCTGCGTCTACAGCCTCGTACACTCCGGAAATGCCGCCGTGGCTAATAAACAGTTTTACTTTAGGATGCACTATAAAAATTTTTAAAAAAAACCGTATAATAAAACATCGTTTTTTTTCGGATTAGAAAAAAATGTCTTACAGAGAATTTCTCTTTGGGGAAACCATTTTCTCGTCATCACGTTTTTCTGTTTATGTTTTATTTCACCTTCGTATTTCCACAAAACCTTCTGAGGAACTTGCGCTAGCGCTTCTTCAAACGCTTTTGCAACGTGATCCGGCAATGACGACAGCTTGACGGTCGAGCCAAACGTGAAGTATATCACTCCGTGAGGCGAGTCTTCGATAAAGTCTTTTATATCCTACGGAAATTTGGCGTGAAACATAAGTTACAGGACTATTATAGGCGAATGCAATACTAGATAGTTAAGACTGCATGCCATAGGCGCAACTAGGGGGTATTAGGGGGTCTTTAACGACCCCAAATTTAAAATTAGCACCTCCGAAAATACCCAATACATTTTTTTCTAATGTTCACTAGATATTTTTAAAAAAAGTAAAAAATGTACGAAATATTAAAAAAAAAAAAATGTAAATGTATGGTTACTGCTTGTAGGAGTCATGTTAAGGGGATTGTGGGGCATTGCCCCCGCAGGTCAGCGATGTGTCTATAGTTTTAACAACCCCAAAATTGGTGGTCTAGTCGCGCCCGTAAGATCTACTAAAAGGTGTATACTTTTTTCAACGTATCGAATACGAGTTAATAATACACATTGATTGTATACGAGTCGCTCACAACGGGGCAAATGCAAAGGTTAGATTAATTATTAAACCGCGCGAATAAATAATAGAGTGGGATTGAGCGCGGGTTAGCGGTTTGGAAACGTCGAAACGAATATTGGCACCGGAATATTAGCCAAGGATACCGACGAAATTGTGAGTCGTGTGGTACGTCACGACGCGAACCTTCGATCGGATTATCGTTTACCCGGTTGAATTATTTAGAACCGTGGCAAACGCATATCGCGGTTTAATTTTTAATTCAACATGTCCTCCGAAAAAGAAGTGCGTTTACCGTATTATTTGCTTGCGTGTGTGTACTTCGGAACCCTTTCAATAAAATCAAATAATATATATTTTAGATACTGAGCGGAGCGAGTAATGTATTGGTTTTTTTTTTCTTTGGACAACTTTTCCACCAGCATTTTCGCTCCGATTTACAATGGTAGCGTTTTTTCTAAAAAGGAAACCGGAATGGGAAAGTACTTTAGGGAGGCCATTCTATAATTGTCCCAGAATTTTTCCCTACAAACGGGAAAAACGTAGGGGAAACAGGAAAACAGGTAGAATATTAAGCGAATGTTATTAAAGATAATATTTAATAATTTTACTATAATGCGGCATATAATATACTGTTGACAGAGCAACCGAACTCCGCTCAGAGTCATTTTCTCGTTAGCAATGGTTTGTGTGTGTGTGTGTGTGTATGTGTACGTATGATGAGCGCTACGTAAATAGTATTAAAATTATCGCGATAAATACGTGAAATGAGAAGAAATCCACGCTCGCGTTGATTATAGCGTTAAATTTATCATTTTTTCAAACCCGGTGGGAGGGGCAGAAGAAAATGTAACTATAGCGGGTAGGCGATTTTTCCTATAATAACAAAATGTGGACCGTCACTTACTTTCGGTAAACTTTTCGCCGGTCTCAAATGAATACCGCCTACATCGATGACGTTAGGCGGCACGGGCCTGGCCGCTTCGGTGATGTAATGGCTGTTCTGGAATATGATGGACGGGCCGACCGGCGGAGATAAATGGTAGGGCCTAGGATCGCGGGTTTTCTCCGACCAATCGTTATAGTTGATCGTAACCGCGGTATAGACGGACAAGACGATGTTGGATAGCCTCTGGACAAACGTGCCGGGCACGGCGTGTCGGGCCATCAGATGAGACACGTACGCCGGGTTCGACACGTACCCGGTAAACTTGGGCTCTTCGAACGTGATCATCGGCGAAGGGATGACGTATATAGCGGGCAAGTGTAACGCCGCGGCAATGTGTGACACGCAGTCGACGCCCAATACGGGCTCGATGATGAGCACGTCGAACGGCAGGCCGCCCATGCCGCCGTCACGCATAATCGCGGCCAGCCGATCGTCGTCGTAGATCGCTTTGCAAATCCATTTGCTTACCGTCGAAAAGGTGCGGACGAACTTGTACGGGTCGCTGAAGTTTTTCAACATCATTGTCACGTCTTGGTCGCCTGTGGACGGGAACCCGGCGGACGTGTCCAACTCGGTGTAGTTTTCCCGGTCGCCCTCCGGGAACGGCGTGAAAACGGTCACCGAGTGTCCGGCGTCCGTGAGCGCTCGGAGTACCGAGCTCATGAAGTTCCAGTGGCTTTTGCCACACATCGTTTCGACGGCCAACACTCGGGCTGTGTCCGCGACCGGCGCGGCCGTCCACGCGTACAACACGGCCACCGTCAGCGAGATCGCGCGAAGTGACAAGCTGCACATGGCTTTTGCCGTCGGGTCGGATAGGATACCGAGATAAATGAATGTAATGTCCGCGCGGAGGAGCCGGCCGAAATAGTATTATCGTCGTCCGCGTCGGTCGAATATTCGCCGAATGATTTTCCGAAATTGTTCGCGAAACGCATTGACGCCGAGTTGCTGAATTACGTCTAATAGTATTATAATAATAACACTAACGGGCTAAGTATCACTATTGACGGCCTTGAACGCACGGACCGTTTTCCGTTTCCGCGTTCAAACCGATTTAGACGAAATCAAATTCTCAACGTCATCCTTCACTAATATTATCTCGACTCTAACTACGGCATGAAAACCGGTTGATCGATGTGTAAGGCCCGGGGTGTTTGGTGGCAATTATACATATATTTACTTGTGTAGGTACTTACGCGAGTATGCTAAAACCGGAGGGGAACTTCATAATTTTCTAACGAGTCCACTCATTAGCGTACGCAGCAATCATATACTAATTTTAGATTATGATTAGTATGAGCGCATCATATTAGTTACGAATTATGATGAACGATGTACGGTCGAAACGTTCAGACCTGCGAATGCGCGCGTTTCACGTGAAACGATTCTGCTGCAGTACTCGGTGCATAAAACCCACTCTGGAGGCGTGTAAAAAGTATAGATAAAGTCATAAACACGCCGGTGGGTTTTATAAACACGACACGGGTATAAAATATACGCGTAATCGGCTTAAAAACGAAACTCGTCGCGCAAACGACGTCATTGAAAACGAAAATCCGGGCAAAAAATAATCACCGACGCGATGTGAATATATAAAACACAAGTATACAACGTATATACAATAGCACGTACTTATACATGTAAGTATAGATAGCGGATTGATATGCACTTAAATCTACAAAATAAACGCTTAAAAACGCTAAAAGAAATATGTAAAAGAGCAATAACGATATAGAGAGGTTTAAAATTACCCCCTCCCCTGCTTCTAATGGTCTAATTTATTAAAAACAATTTTTTCACATACTACAAAAATGATTATTATAAAGTAATTTTTTTTTTTTTAAGCAAATAAATTTGTACGGGTTATACAAAAAAAACTACGATAATCATTTTTGTGTTACTTAAATATTATTTTTAACAAGTTAGAACTATTAGGGGGGGGGTGGAATTTTTAATATTTTTTAAATGATATTTAGCTATGATTTTTTTGACGTTTTTAAGCATTTTTTTTATGGATTTTGAAGGCATACAAATACGTCCTCCACTCATAATAAGCATAAAATATAAGGACGTAGTGTTGTGTTTGTGACTTTGTGTACACAAATCTATGAAAAACGCTACCTTATAATGATGGTCTTCAAATCTGACATTCCTTCATAAAATATATGAATGCTATTGGTGCACAGTAAAATAAATAACGGAAATTCTGTAGACAACCCGTTAATGAGATATACTAAGCAAATAATTAATGGTTTACAAATAATTCACCGCAGGATAACAGTATTTGGTTAGCAGCGCGGACCGAGATTTACAGGAAACCGAAAACAAAAACCGACCGGTAGGTAATGCGGGGCGTGCTAGTTATTTGTTTCCTCTGTAATCCATTTCCTTCGCCAACAATAACGTGAAGTGTCTAATTCCATAGAAATTCGCCGGGACGACACTAGGATAGTGGGATTTATAAATGAAAGGATCCCCCTGTACCTCGTATTATGCTTTTGTTTTTCCGGCCACGTTATCCGCGCTCGTTTCCAGTACCTATACGTATATCTTAGTCCGTGATTAAATGCAGCAGCTGGTAACAAAATTGCAGTTCTGCAACAAATGGTACGTGTTATAGGACGAGTATTTTTTCAATAATTATACTGTCGAATTTACATTTAACATTCGCTCACAACGAGTCGCAAAAGAAGCCGGTGAAGAACTTAAGGAAATGATTACAACACATTTATCAATATTTTTAAGAAACTCGCGATTCAGTATAGACTATTGAAAATTAACCTTAATAACGTGCGATTTTTCCGAGAAATACTCAAACACGGTGACCTCAAAAAGTTTATAAACCGCGAATACCGCGAGAAATATAAACACCGAAACTGCAGCAATTACATACAAAAGAAAATATTGATACCACGCAATATTGTGACCTTGATATTTCAAATGCGGTGCCCCGTGGCGTCGAATTACGTACTCGGTCCATTAAACCACCGATTGCGCCGGTGTCATTGGACGGTCTTTGAACAACGCGGAATTATTTTGACTGAAAAACCGCGGTAACGGTAAAATTCGACCATACAGCGGTTTTTATAAAAACAGTGACACGATATTTTACCGCGGCCGTTTTACCGCTGCAGTGTAATGTGGACTCCGATAAGAATATACGAGTTCAGTATTATTAGTAGTAATAATAGTAAATAATATTACACAATCGATGGAAAATAACACAGTATTATTAGTTAATAAAATATTATTATAAAAATAAATCATCGATAAATACCATATTTTGAAAAGAAAAAAAAACCGTAAAAATCGGACACGAACGAAAGGTTTCGGCTTTCAACTATTTTAAACGTCCTGTATACAATGAAGCTCGATTCACATTATCGGTAAATTATATCGATATCACGTGGTCGGGTCAAGGAACGGTTTTGTTGTCTACACTCTAAAGAGCCTATTTAATATTATATAGGCTCACTAGTTTTGTCTGATCGAATTGGTTGATTTTGACCGAGACCGCATAATATTATAGTGCAAATCTATATTAAAACGTTATTATCGATCTGGTCGCCGAGATAAACGTGGTTTTAATTAAATAATAAAAAACTCGTTAAAATTTGTTCGCGAATCTCGCGGTCTGGAGCCGTGTGGATTTAATTTCATGTAGCTGGGAATGCGAATCCTAATTCGTCATAACTAGGACACAGATTTCATTGCAAAATTCGTTTTTTTTTCCTTCCATAAACTAAGACAACGCTTTCCGAGTACACAATTCGATTCGTGTAACAAATATTTCAAAAGCAAAACTTTTATTTCGCATTATTTTAACATTTTTCGGTCAAATATAATATAATAATTTATAAAATAATACATAATAATGAATAATACATATATTATCTATACATTTGATTTTTAAGATTTTGATACTCTTCATAAGATTGCCAATCGTTCTATTTATTGTCGTTTCAGCAACGCCTTTATCTTATTTTAATTTTAAGGTGTTGTGCTGGGCTTAATAACGAACAAACAGAAACTTTTATTTTGGTTTGTTCCCTGTTTTTACAATTTCAGAGCAGTTTTTAGCATTTTTTAATTTTTCTTTTCTCATGAATATTGTTTCGCTAAAATTAATTTGGTTTTTTTTTTTTTAAATATTTAAATCCGGACCTTAGTCATAACCCTTGACGACCAAGATCAAACAAAGACTGCAGATAACGTGGATTTTTAAGAAGATTTTTTTATAATAAACTTCCTCGAGGCTGCGATAAAAATTTAATATAAACGTGGCAAGTATAATCATTGTGGAATTTTCACCCATTATGGTTTCGTACATGGACGGTACCTCTAAATAAATAACGACAATTGCCGATAATAAATATACCAGACAAATAATAAATGGTTCGAAAATAATTCAAAAGATAAGTTGTATTTGATAAATTGCACACCAATAAATTTCTATAACCAATAAATAACTGTATATGATTATTGTAAGAACTTTTTTACAATATTGTAAAATTTATAAGATACAGTAAAACGCATAGGTATACTCGCACGTGGCACGTTATAAGGGGTGGTTAGTAACGTAATAATACACTTTTTTATTAAAACTTCATCATACTTATAGTCAAATTATAAAAATATCTATTCGGTTCTTAATGTTAATTTTATAATGAAGAACTCACCGTTAATGGTTGATCACCCGAAAAGGGTACAGTATTATGAAATACCTACACGAATATAATAATATCTACCAATCCGTAAACTTTGACAGATTTCTAGCCATTTTACGGATCAATTGTTTTTCGTGATCGGTATCTTTAAAAAAAAAATAAATAAAAAAACACGTCGTATATTTTACTATAATCTCGACTTGGGCTTAACAATCGTATTGAACGATTGCTACTACACATCAAAACGCTCAGAAGCAAAACATTTTTTTCGTCCCTATAGCAAAAAATTGAAATTATACTTCATCTACTATGACTGTACTTTTGACTAAATAATTATTTTTGTTTTTTTTATTAGATATTTGAACCCCCTTCAAAATCCTATCACATTAAAAATGTCGTTTTGTTTTTAAATTAAGTAAATTTACATTCACGCCATACATAGGTAAAACCTATGTGAGGTGTATACCTAGCGGCGCAACTAGCACAAAATCCTAGGGGGAGGGACTATATCATCACATTAATATTATACCATAATATTATACACATTCACACAACTTAAAATGTATATACCAAAAAAATAACAAAATTATTTAACTTTTAATGATTTTTATACAATCATACAATAATTATTAAAAAATTATTCAAGCTTCATTTTTCTTTTACATATAGCTGTAAACTGTTGTAAAATTTAATCAGGATCAATTTCTATATCTTTTTCAATACTTAGTATGGATAAACTACTGAAACGATCTTGGTACATTGTTGACCTTATGAATGTATTTATTCGCACATCGTGGCAGAAAATGCACGTTCTGATGTCACAAAAGAAATTTGCGGAGTAATCAAAATTTGGCATATTTTGTGTTTACGAGAACGCACTTCGACCCGAATAAATATGCAAAGAAAAAACCTATGCGTAAAAATGTATTTCTCCCTTGATTCGATGACATCAAGCAAAAACCTACCACTTCGTTTTATACAATTATTTATATGTAACTTATTTACGAAACTGCGGTTTTTTGTATTTATTAGTGTCAACGAGAATGCTATCGGTCTCACAATGATTGTGTGCTTGTGTGATTTATTTTTTCTCGGAAAATTTTTTGAACAGTAAAAAAAATGTTTAAAAAGTTTCATCCAACGATTTTTAGGAAAGACGTTTGGATTCGAATTGTATTTCAAAGTATCCCTCCGGAAAAAGGAAATAGACTTACGAGGAGAAATTCGATATTTTAATCATGATATCTATATATTTTATGTCTCTATATAGCAGTTATAGATTTCTTATAAAACGAATAAACAAACAAAAAAAAAAAATCAAATTAAACACGACGCATTATTCGAGTGGGTCGGGTAGGTGGGCGTGCGATTTAGAGGGCTAATTTTGCTAAACAGTACACATAATATAATATTGGCCGTTTTGGGTGTGGCGATTAATTAAAAAAGTTTCCTCATTTGTAGTGCATGGAAGTAAAGGAACTCAGGAAACTAATATTGTCAAGCAAATATAGACACTTCATATAATTTAGTTTGATAGTTTGTGAACGAAAACTATACCGTAGAACTTTTAACGTTTAAATAAAGCGGCTGAATTTAAAGAGTTCGCGATAGTTGAAGCCGTTGTGTTCGAATTAAAAAACTTGTACGATAAATTATGTTAAAACTACAAGTTGTGACACGGATAGCCCATCAACCCGAGGACAGAATTTCATAGCATAGTGTAGACATCAATACTTATATGTCAATGAAATGGAAACCCGAATAATTTTGGCTCATTTAAATCATGATTACACCGTTGTCCGTTTTTTAATATGAATTAAATTTGCACGAGCTCAAAACGATAGATTATTATTATTAGACATAATGTTTTTATCCCAAGGAGAAATGCTTAAGTCAATTTTTTTTTTTTTTATAATTTATGTTGCATAATATTTCCCATTGCTTCTTGAAAAATCTATTATTTCTATTGTATAACTGCTTATTTCTTAAAATTTCTAAAAAAAAACAATGAATGATTAATTCGGAAATATTCCGAAAAAAAAAAAATAGTTTCCGTGATAATGAGTGTTTTATAATGCCTTGTAAACTGTAAATATCATAATTATATCGCTGATCTATTTTAACATGATTTTATTTATACTATATAGGGAGGGGGTCGAATATTTATCTAAATAAATTACCTATATAGTTTTTAATAATATTTTGGCTCAAGTAGATAAATAATTTCAAGTTAGGTATCTAAATATTTGATCTAGATAATTTATTTTTTGAATGGTTGAAAATACAGTTAAATATTAAATAGTATTAGTCACTTCAAACCGTTATTGTCTGACAAATTTTTTTGCACCGTTTCCTTATTTTTATATCAATATTTTATTCGCGCAATCTTCAACAATTTTAAAGTTATGTCGTTAAATTACTTAAAATTATTTTAACATTGGTAGCTTCTAGTTTATTCAATTTTTTTTTAGCTTAACTTATATTAATAGGTATTATAACTATACATAATAATGAAGTCAAATTTACCTTCTACCTAACACTAGACAAGGATATACATAAACAAATTTGTTAGCAGTGGCGCAACCAGGGGTGTATTTTGAGTGTCTGGACACCCCCTAGTCCCTATATGCGTGTTCAAGTAATATAAATATGTTAAAAGATATTATTTTTAATATAGACATTTGACACCCTTCTTCAAAAAATCCTGGTTTCGCCACTGTTTGTTAATCTAGGTTGAATTAAAGTTAATTTATTTTAAACTTTAACATAGAATACAACTTAACTAACTTTTAATTTGTTTTAAATGAATTTAGAAAACCCATAATTTGTACAGTCAGCTTTAGAACTTTGTTACATAATATAAAACAAACATTTGTTTATTTTTATCTTTATTAAAAAATAGATTATAATTTATCACCTTTTATCTTTATCTAAATACGTTTCAACCATTATTTTTTATCTTTATCTAGATCATTTTTTTTAATTATCTAATGAGAGAGTCATAGTTGCAATTCGCGTAAAGCCCTATTCCTCGCAATAATTACGACAGCGAATTCTACTACTTCCGCTTCTTATACTTTGCTTGGTCACCACACAATATAAAAAAATGTTAAACACGTAGACATTGTACGGTTTCCGTTCATCAACGATCGCAAAATCCCTGTAGTCAATGATGACTTTTGCTTTTCCGATCGTTTCCGAGAATTACGTTCTTTCGCAATTGTTCAACCCGCTGCATTATCCCATTGCTTATGCTGACAAGCGAACGCGAAATTCGAAACTTTGGTCACGTTAATTTTATATATTGCGCCCACATACGCCTATCGTGGATATTGAAAAACTTTTGAAACTGTACATACTACAGTCGTGAATATACGTTTTAAGTATAGCACGTAATGAAATAGATTAAAATGAATACAATAGTGTAGTCCAAGATATACGCGAGTACAATAACTTCTCAATTTTTTAGTTGGTGCGTACCCATAATTATTGTATAATGTGTGATGCGCAGGTATACGTCTAAAAATATATATCAATTGTACATCACTATAGTTCTTTTCAACATTTTTCATAAGACATTTGCGTACCGTTAAATGATTAGGTCATACATCATTTGTGCATCAAAATGTTTTAACTACACAAGGCCTGAAAGGAATAAGGAGTACCCAAAACCACAAATTGTTTCCTAACTTTAATCATAAAAAAGCAGGACAACTTCGCACGTGGGTGGGCCACTGTTGTGGGTAAACATTTGGGAAGGTAGTAGAGGGGAAATTGATTGTGCATCTGTAAGCAACGATTTAAACCATTGCTAAAGAAAAAACGATTCTGAGCTTGATAGTGTTGCTTTGTCAACAATATATATGTCATATTATGATAAAATAATTACATAGACATTATATATTTTCTTTAATAATATTTGTGTAATATTTTACCTATTTTCCCGTTTTTCCATCTTTTTCCATGTATTTTAGGTATAAAAGGTGTATATATGTTTAAATAATACATAATGTATATATACATATTACGAGTTACGACGAAAACCACGGGTAAGTTGTAACAACGACCCAATCCAAAAAAATATCAAATAATATTACTAAATATAATATCTAGTTGATACGCCAAATGATACATTTTAAAGTAATTATTATAAGTACTAGACTTATCTAAGGACTATAATAAACGACATGCAACTTTTGTACTTTACAATATTAGATTCGGATCTGTTAGTTGTATTGGTTTGGGGTTTTGTAGTAGTAATTTTGTCTAGTTGGTGCATTACAGAGGTAATTTTTTTGATTTCCAAAAGTTGTTCAAAATAATTGGGAAAAACCAGAAACAAAATTACAGGTTAAACGAATTAATAAAATACGTATATAAACATAGGTTTATATATGTATATATCTTACTCGTGTATTAAGTTTGGTTGACACCGGCTCAAGGATTTCAGAGTGGTGATTGAGTATACAAACATACTTTTAAAAAACATACATGAATAATGATTAATGATAATGATAATGAAATTAATGATAATATACATTTTAAAGAAAAAAAACATGGCTAACACCTCATAATAGACTATAGTATTAGTCGTGTTCTTTTCCACCGTATCCAAGGTAACCCATAAATCAACAAAAATAAAACCAATGTATCGACATGTGTTGTTCGTTTATTTAATTCTATAGAAAAACTGTTGGGTATTTAAGCATTTTTTTTTTTTCAAATAAAGTTTGAAAAATATTGGATCTTCTTGTCTTAGGTTCTAATCGGTTCCGTGAGATTACAAAGCCAATGATTGCAAAAGAAATAAAAAAAAAAAAATAATAAAGTAATTGTACTTTTATTAGTGTAAAATATAAATGCGTATTTCGTGCAAATAGTCGAAAAATAATTTTTTGCCTTTTCAGACCACAGGAAATAAGTATAGTACAATTAATACAAAAAAATTCTTTAAAAAAAAAAAAAATTAAATTAAGCTGAAGTATTTAATATTTTCAAAAACCGATAGTACCAAGAACCGAAACCGAAAATTAAATTATGTATGTACCTAATCGCAACCGGAACCTAAAGAACCACAAAGGAGGTTCCAGTCCCTGATCATATAGCTAGGAAATTGAACAAATTTAATTTATCAGGACAATTGTGTAATATACGATATTGGATTGGCTATACAATATATTTGTTATACATAATATTTTTTTTTTATTTATCAATATTTGACCATAAAAAAGATAAATTGATATATCTATGACATTTTTAATCTAAAAATAAATAAATAATTAATGACTTAATAATTGCCAAACAAAAAAAAAAATTGGAAATAAGTTCCCCGTCGTCCTGCTCTTAGCTCATTCATATTGTATTTTTGTAAAAATACATTTTTTTTAAGTTCATTACTAAATCAAAAAACATTGACTTTCAAATAGCATCATATCGTAGTTATAAACGATAATATATTGACATCCTAATATTTTTATGACTGTTTATAGCAGTCCGTAATCATAAAATCCCATCGAGCTGGGTTTTTTGTAACGCGGTCAACACCAATCATAAATAGTTTTAAAATATAAGTACTATTATTGTAAAGTATCGAACGAATAATATGCCCACTTATATTACATTAAGTAGATGTTTTAATGTTTGTACATACAAATGATGTAATAAAAATAAGCAGGTACTTGCTTTTCATACCGTTTTCTGTCACAAATATCGTTTTGTACCTTTAAAGTTCCATATTGCGACAAATAATAGCTAAGGATCAACGGCAGATTTTCTTCCGTTCACAATGATGATAGTAGGTAATATTCATAAAAATAATAGTACACAAAATTTGATTTCATTTTAATAGTAATATAAATTGTCGCTCCGTGACTATGAATTCTATTCGAAAACTGAGAACCTAGTGATTTTATAATACCGAACTTGGGTCAACATCTCCTTGGGTTTAAGTGTGACGAGAGATTATTACCCTTTTTAATATCTATTTATTATCCGGTCGATTGTAATTCATGCTGTACTCTACACATTATAAAAAATGTCCAGCTCACGTGGTTATATTTGTTTTTAGATTGCCAAATACGTATATATCGGTTTAACGTTTGATTGTGATCAAATGCCGATGAAAAAAAAATATGCTATTGCTGTACCACATATAATACATAATATATATTTTCTACCCAATCCAATACTGTCTAAAAATCCAAATACCAATCTAAAAATCAAATTAATATTAGTAATATAAATTATATGAATAGATATATGTTTGATTTCACAGAGTTTTGATTTTATAACTACTGATACTTAACTTTATTCTTGTATGTGTGCGTCGAAAAAAGTTTAATAATTAATTGAATGGATTTATATACTATGTAAAGCACTAAAAAAACAAAAACTAGTATTACTGCAATCACGTCTAAAAGGTAATATTGATACCATGTAAGATTAAGACCATGATATTTCAAGTGTGGTGCTCCTTTGTGACGGATTACGTATTCTGTCCAATATACAACAGATTTTGCCGGCGACATTGGACGATCTTTGAATATTTGAGAATTTTTTTTAGCATTTATCGTGTACCTAAAAATAATATTTGTTTTTATTAATTTGTGTTATAAATATTAAATAAAACACCCGTGAGTAGTAAACTTTCCTATGGTTCCCGTAACAATATTTCACTTATTTTTTTTTATTATTATTTAAAATAATTATAATTACTGAAGCTAATCATGGGTGTTTTTATAATTTCATGTTATATATTTAATATTAAATGTATATTTATTTATGATTTGTATTCCGCCAATTGACCACATCTACCCCTTCCCCTGTTATATTCCGTGGTATACTACCCCATCTTTCTTTCGTTTATAAAAATAATACTATAAACTTTAGATAATGGATACAGAATCGAATAAAAAAATGTCCTTAATACATAAACTATATGTACATACAAAACGTCATCTATCTGACTTGATTTCAGAGGTTTTTACGGGTGTAAAAAATTGAAAAAACACCCTCCTCCTACAAAAACTTAGTTAAGCGCAACATTTAAAAAATAAAAAATTTAATCCCTAAGTTTGAACTCATTTGCCTCAGAGAAAGCCGTCAAATACGTTCAAAAGTACCGAGAAAAAGATATACTCGTGTGTTTGTGTTTAAAATATAACAAACACAATGCAGTACAATAGTGTCTGTACTTACTCGAGGGAAATTTAACAAGTATTAATATGACTCGTGAAATTAATAATATTTGTCGAGAAACTTACTTTTCGTTATTAATGATTTCCAAAATATTATTTAACAGTGTGTCATTGGTAACTGTAAGTATGTCCATAGATATTGCCATTTCATAGTAAACCAAATGATCAATATTTCTTGACTGATCGTAAATCAAAGGAAATCCAAGTACAGGAACACCGGCGTCGACAGTTTCGTACACTGAAGACATGCCACCGTGACTTATAAATAATTTTACATTAGGATGCACTAAAATACAAAAAAAATTTAAAATTAAATGTTTTAATTTATTATAATATGACATTAAAAAGTTTTTATAAGCATTTTATTATTTAATGATCGTACAGAGAATGTCACGCTGTGGAAACCAGTTGGATATCATCACGTTTTTCGGTTTATCCTTCATTACCTCTTCGTATTTCAACAAAACTTTTTGAGGTACTTGAGCTAGCGCTTCTTTAAACGCTTTTTCGATATAATCCGGAAGTGCAGATAATTTAACTAAGGAACCAAAATTAACGTAAATTACTCCGTGGGGAGCGTCTCCGATGAAATCTAATATATCCTAATAAAATCAATAATTATGTTATTGTGTATGCAACACATTTTATAATATTGTATGTACTACTGTGCTGCATTTTAAACCGTTTTGTAAATTGTATTTGTGTGGTATTTTACTCACTTTTGGAATAGGCTTTGCTGGTTTCAGATGTATACCGCCTATATTTATGACATTAGATGTAACCGGCTTCGCCTTTTCCGATACGAAATGACTGTTTTGAAAGATTATTGAAGGGCTGACTGTGGGCGAAAAATCATACGGGCTCGGGTTGGTCAATCTCACCGCTAGATTGTATAACTTCGCGTTTACGTTAAAAACAATTTTAACGGTATTTATAAACCTTTGGGCGAACGTTTTCGGGACAGCCTGATTACTTATAATATTTGATACGCACGCTGGGTTGGAGGCATGTCCGGTAAATTTACGTTCTCCTAATGTGACCATCGGTGACGGAATCACGTAAACCATCGGCAAGTCCAACGCGCTGGCTAAGTAGGACATACAGTCGAACCCCGAGATCGGTTCGATGATGATCAGATCGAAACTCGAGTTGCCGGTACCGTTTACTATCTCGCCGAGTCGGTCGCTTTTGTAAATCATATCGCAGTATTGTCTGCTGAGCCAGCCCCACATCGACATAAGCCTGACCGGTTCGAATTTCTCCAACAATTCAACGAGGCTGTAATCGACCAATATTGGGAAGTTCATAGACGTATCCACTTCCGTATAGTTTTCGCGGTCTCCGTCCGGAAACTGCGTGAACACGGTCACGCTGTGACCGGCCTCGGTCAACGAACGCAGCACAGCGCTCATGAAGTTCCAATGACTTTTGCCCGCCACAGTTTCCACGGCCAATATTCTGGCATTTTCCGCAGGTATCACGCACTGGGATACGATGGCGTATACCATTACCGTGACTTTGTTAACGTACATAGCGATCGGTTTCTATACGCTGGTACCTACCTACCGTGGTCATTAGAACGCGTGAACTAAATATTAATAAATTAGTGTTCAAGAGTCACGTTTACGCGAATAGAGATAATGCACTGATTATAAACAACAAACAACTCACAAATCATTCTCTTATCTTTATAGAGATTAGATTTATTATGATATTTATAAATAATTATCATGAAAAGACTACCGGTTTATTATATTAAATTAAATTATGCAGCGTATTATAGGCCACATTATTAAGGCGTACTCGTAATAATTGTATTTATTTTTATTCAAATAATGGGTTTCTCAAAAAAATAAGCAACAGTTCGACGAAAATTTACAAGTGTTAAAAACTTTACTTCTAGATTCTGAGTTAAGAAGCTTATTGATTTTTAAATTTTTTCTTCTGTGGACAACTTTTCTGCCAGCAATTTTGCTCCGATATACTCGTATGTATACACACGTGTAAATAAAATAAAAAATGAATCATATAATATTATTATTTCAGTATTCCATCAAAATAGATTACAGACATCCTTTTCCACTTTTGGACCAGACTCGCCGTAATATGAACTGTAGTCGCTAATAAAAGTACGCGATTTTACCGAATCTACCGACAACCTCGGACAACAGAAATATCCTAAAAATTTGAATATATCATTGAAAAAACCTAACTCTTATAGGTGTAAAGATTGGTCTATGTTTATGAATCAAATTGAAAAATTGGAAAATCAAAATGAAATAGAATTTATCAAAAACAAATTGGAAGAACATAAGTTAAAAGCATATCAAGCACAAAATATGCACAAAGAAGATGCTAATATAAAAGCTACACCACAATTAAACTATACTCAATGGATTGACAAAAATTATTGCTACTTCTTATTAAACCAGAATCAATAACTATTTTCTTTACCAGTTAGTAATTTTAAACGAGACATTTGCCTCATTAAAACCAAAAGGTAAAGGTTATTGTGTACTTTGGCATGAAGTTGTAGCAAGCAGAAAGGGTGAACATATAACAGATGCCATATTAGCATTAATAAAACAGGAAAGAGATGTGAAAGATTTCATATTTTGAGCAGATAACTGCACCGGACAAAATAAAAATTGGATCTTATTCACTGCTTTGGTTTGTACATTAAATACCATCTATAATACTGTTGACAGTAGTAGTTTAAGTACTTGACCAAACGCCATACACATGAGTGTCAATGTTACGCATGGCAACATTGAAAAAAAATCGGAAAAGTAAGAAATGCTTACGACTATAATTTAAAAAAAAAAAATTTAAGAGAGCACATAAAACTTAAAAAAACTTAAATTAGTTATTACCATTGATGTCAGAAATAGTTGAAATTTGTGGATTAGTTTACCAGTATCTGTGACGTCTACCGATCTAGTTGAGAACATTGGTCCAGCAGATACATTTCTAAATGAACGTGCTTGATATAAGACCGAAGTTCTAACTATTTGTAGCAAAGATTGCACATAAGGTAAGATAAGTTAAGAAGTAATTTTGTTGTGAATTTTTATATTTCATTATATATACATTATAGGGTGGTCCTTATGTATAGATGATGACATTTTTTTTTTAAATTTTTGATTGGGCCACCCCTGGAATTTGTTCAAAACAACAAAATAATGATCTGTGTGAAGTTTTGTAAATATTGATTAACCCTAAGGCGTGCCTCAGGAGGGTTGAAGTTCAAAGAAGGGTGGTTTTTCGATTTTTGCAATTTCGGCCTAAAATATTTAAGTTAGGCGAAAAAGTGCTTTAACATATTATTTTTTAAATTGAATATGCTATAAAAAATGTAACTTGTACTTTTTTTGTTTAATTACTCATTCCAACACAAAATAAAAAAAACTAGTATTTAATATATTTTACATGATTATTTCGGTTAACAGCGTTAGGCGTACAGTTAACACGTTGGGTTTGTAGGTATTAAACCATCATAGTTTTACTATCTAATCAAATTAAGTAGGTAGATATTGTAGATAATCTTTGGTGTTCAACTATATTATTCCACTATATCTTTATTAAGATTATAGTGAATAACTAAATAAAATAATCATTGGGATTTTACAATTAACTATTAGCGTCTACAGATTATTATTAAATAACACGTTATAGCGATAAAGCTTATTTATGCTTGTAAGTATTTAGTTGTTGGACGGTCGTCGATCACGATATCGTTCTTGTGTTATTTTGTTCGTTTTTACGTTAGTTCAATGTAGTTATTCATTTATATGTTTTCCGTTGTTTTTTTTAATTAATGTTAAAGTGTTGTAATAATATGACGGACAAAATTAATTTGCGTGAAAATATTTATTTAATTAAACATACTACACATCAACTTTTTGGTTGTAAATTACCTTCAAATAAACAAGTTCTAAGGGTTTTATTTCATAATATGCGTGAAGTCAAATTGAGTCTACGAGATAGTGCTCGATTAGTCATAGAAGAGGTTATAATATTTTGGCAAAAAGCTCGTATTCCGAACAGAGAAATACGTCATTGTATACCAAAATTAGAAGCGATGTACAACGAATGGCGAAATTTGCAAAAAAATTCGTCCAGGCGAACTGATACGCAAATAAAAAAAGAAAATATCTTTATTGAAAAGTTCGAGGACCTTTTTGACATAGNAAGTATTTAGTAACTTATTAATTATTATTTAATTATACTAAATGTTTGCGCACAATAATTTCAGATGAAACGGTCGAGTTAATGTCGACAGAAAGAGATACCGACGATGACAATTTTGTTTTCGAGGAAACAATATGTGAACCTGGTCCTTCTACTAGTAAACGAGCTTCAACACAGTTTCTCACTAAAAAACTCGTAGCTGCATTGGATAGATGTAAGGTTAGTGATAGAGACGCAACTCATTTACTTATGGCAACAGCTGAAGCGTTAGATCAAAATGTTGAAAACCAGAGAAATGGTACAAAAATATCAACTATCAAAAAGGTATATCTGTACTTAGTCAAGTTAAAGTTGTAAAAGATGCAGCTGAAAGGGGAGTGAAATTAATAACTGATTTCAATGACAAAATTACTAAAGACGAGGAACAAAAACAATTTTTGATGCAGACAGTTTACGACTACCGGCATAAGTATCCTGACGCGAAACGAAGTACACTTTCAAAACACATTTGAAAATGTATAACAATTTAAAATTTTACATTATAAATACTAATTTAAATAATATACTACTTAAGTTCTAAAATTTTTCTCCTAGATATATATTTTTTAAATAAATTCATTGTCTACAAATAATATGATGTACACTTTTTTCATTAATTAAAATAATTTTTGAGGTATATAAAAAAAAACGAAAATACACCCTCTTAAAAGAAATTTCAACCCTCTTGAGACACGTCTTAGGGTTGCACTATCGTTATAAAATTACACAGATATTATTTTTTTATGGTTTATTTTCAAATTCGAAGGTGGCGCAGTTGAAATGTTGATTTTCAATTTTAAGGACCACCCTAATATACATATATATATATGATTCTTTAATACATAATTTTTTTTTGAAATATTTTTATTGTTATTATTTTGTTGACAAATTTTTTAAAAAAAAATAGTGATTATACATTTTAAAATTTAAGATTTGTTTAATACTTTAAGTTTTGTTATTGAGTTGTAAAGACTGTATAATATTGTGATAGACATAGTATTTTTACTATAAATTAAAATATAAAAGACCGCAACGACTGCACATTTTAAATAGGATAACAATAATATAATATACATAATGCACTAAAGACATTGTTTTATTCTAATTATAATAATATACAATATATAATTATTAATATAATATACATTAAACACACATCCATTAAATACCTTGATATAATAATTGATCAAAATTTAAAATGGAATATTCTCATAGAAAATATAATAAATAAATTGAGACAACTAACTTACTTTTTCCTAACAGCTAAAAAAATATTAAGCAAAAACTACCTTAGAATAACATACTTTGCAATGGTCAATCTTCACTACAATACCGAATAATCGCTTGGGGTGGGTGCAGTACTACATTAAAATATAATTTAACGATGCCACAAAAGAATATAATAAAAATTATCTTAAATAAACCAAAAACTTTCCCTTCAAAAGAGCTATTCAAACTATTTCGAATACTAGAAATAGAAAAACTTTACAATAAGCAAGCGATATGTTTTATTTATAAAACTAAAGCTTTTACAATTAAAAACAATCCCCATAATCTTAGAAAAAAATATTTCGAAATTCCATTTATGAACATTGCAGATGTAATAGGTAAATGTTTAAATTATTCGCATTTTACACTTAAACTAAAAAATTGGTTTTATGATAATCTGTAAAAAAATATTGTTAATTCTAGTCTATTATTTATGTGAAGTTGTACTTAAAAACATTCATTAAATAGCTTATCTATTAAAAATTCTAAATATTAATTAACTAAATAATATTTTATATAATCATAATTGTTACTATACTCTTAATTTTCATTGTATTTCTTATTTATCAATATCAAATTGTGAATTTCTTTTTTGGTTTTTTTTCCTTTTTTTTTAATTTTGTCATTTAGATTGTATTCTAATTTTAATTTTTTTTTTTTTTGTTTCTTATTATATATGTTACTTTTTTCTTTCTTTTTTTTTTTTTAAATATTTAAAATAACATCAAGATAAGTATTCTTGCTCTACGATAAGAGGTTTTACCTCAGTGTAGAGCAAAGCTAGTAACTACATATATTGATCCATTATATTTTGTACACATTTTCTTTTACTAGCAAATAAAAAAAATTGAAATAAAAAATATATTAAAAACACGATAAATTCTAGTGTTTAGTGTTTNTTTATAAATCCCAAACCAAAACCGAGTATCCGTGACAAGTCTGAGCCAAGAGGAAAATTGATAATTTTCAAGTGGATAAAAAATTGAGAGAATCCCAATATAACTAGGAAACAAGATTACAATATCCGTGATACCAACCGGTGATAAGGTTACAGTCATATTGTAAAACCATGGTTGTACCATAAAATTTTAATTTTTTTTGCAATTCAAAAATCAAGTAGATAAATCATTAACAGCGGTTGTATCTAATACGTGATTTGTATTTTTTTTTTTAAATATTTTTTTTTTTTACAGCAATAACACAAGTATGATTAGGTACGTACGTCGTTTTTGAGACGTTTTTTCGTCATTTTTTTTTTTAACATTATGCAGACAACATGCTGCACATCCTGCATTTCGGCACCACATCATCATATAATTTGTTCATTTTTTTTTCTAAATACAACTGTTACATAGTACATCATAACGCAACTGTGGCCGTCCCTACCATACAGGTTGTTTTTTTTTTTTTTCTAAATAAGGTAAGTACACCATTTTGTGGACTATACTGACCGGGGACAGGAGCCGGGGCCGCACGTCGGCGGACCACGGGCAGATACGCGCAAAACGTACGCCCGCGAAATATCCAGCGACGTACGTAACAAAAGACACGGAAAAATATTGCCGCGGCCGGTCGCGCCATGGTGAAGAAAAAAACACATGCATCGGCCGGAATACCGATTTTCGGCTATTTGGTTAGATTTACGTTACCGTCCGTTACGGACAGGTAACCGAACCGAATGACATGTGCGGACACAACGTCTTACAGGTACATCACGGGCAACCTCGCGCCGGTTTTACAGGACCGCTACGGGGTTACCTGACCGGGGGAGGGGCCGGGCTTCGTTCGTTGACGGGCCGCGGACAATTACGCGCGAAAATTACACCGGCAAAATGTCGGGCGACGTACGCATCGAGAGATGCGGAAACGCAAACGTTGAGGCCGGTCGCACAAATGCGCAAGTAGGTACACAATTGTGACGGAAAAAAAACCACGTGCGCGCCCGGCTAGGACGAGTATCTCGAACATCCGAGACTCGTGCGTGATTGAGTACTTACTTACTTACTTACTTAGTCGGCGTGCCGGCGACCAAAAGACGTTAATACCGTCGGGTCGGACGCCCGTCCGTACGCGTTACTGTCCATACAGAAATAATTGGTATCGCGCAAAATCGAACCGTCGCGTAGTGGAAAAAATACGGCCGGTACCGAGGAACAGAGGAAACATAAAATACACGTCGAGCCGGGTCTCTTAAAATGCACAAATATACAATTGTGACGCAAATAGAAACCACGTGCGCTCTCGGGCCGGAGCGAGCAGTTCGAGATATAATATTATATTATATAGTAAGTACTCACTGCAGGTTTCGGCGTGCTGGCAACAAAAGGCCAAATTACCGCCAGGACGCCGCCATCCGTACGACGTTTTCGATA